TGGTTAAAAATGCCAGCAGGGGATGCTAAAAAAAGTCATAATGGTGGTCATAATGGTACAATTGAAGCCTCACCCGTATTTCATGTATGTTGCATGCACATAGAAAACAGGTGGAGCTTAGATCACACCATTGTGGCTGCCATGTTGACTTTTTCTTCCATACCATGTTGGCACCCTGAATGCTAGCTTAGTATTCTATATGAAGGCAGCAAAAGCCTGCCGGGTTTTGAGGTACCCATGGCTTTTTTCAAACATTCACCGGAATGCATTGCTTTGGGCTGGAATTCTGCACTCAAACTTCCCATCAGGATGCCGGCAGAATGCAGAGCACAGCACTGGATAATGAAATGCAGCTCAAATCAAGTCCCCTCCAAGGCTTATACGTTGATACGTTCCTGTTTGGGACCTTTATTTTTTGAGAAAAAGTTAATTATCTGAAGATGTCCGAATTCCTCATATATGTAGAACCCTTTCTTTTTGTCTGACACCATTTTCCTTTGATACTTAGAATTGTTTTTGAAAACTTCTGTGTGGTGTCACATCTCTTACTTACTTCACATCTCTTCTCAAAATCACATTTTCCCATGAAGACTGGTACAACCATCCTGTCCCTGTGCTCTGATGAAATTCACCCTAAGTTGATTTTGTTAAAAAACAGTGTGATGTTCTTTATTTATTCACAGTTCCTATCACTTCCCATTCACTAGATTTTATTCTTCCCACGCTTTCCTGTTGTTATCTTGAAGTCTACTTTGTATATTGTAATCTGTACAACTAGGGACTAGTCTGCTTTTCTTTGAGAAGGGTCCATGTACACCATTGGTGTTAGAAAAAAGAACCTCCAGGTTCTTTTAACAATAAAAGTATCCAGGCTTTTATTGTTAGGTATTATTGTGTTATGAATGGTGGGAAAGCTACTGTATTTGCAAGTAAGGCTAAAAGAACAGAAAATGCTATGCTTGAGCTAAACTGTACTGAAAGGGGACATATGGGGACAAACAAAATGCTTCATGCAGCATATGATTAACTGAGAGAATGAATTATGATAGGATGTGGCGATGGCCACCAACTTGGATACTACTTTAAAAGGGGATTACATGAAATTTGTGGAGGATAGGTCTATTGAGGACTATTGATCTTGAAGACTGAGTGTTACCTCTGGGTTAGGGGCAGTATGCCTCTGAATACCAGTTGCTAGTGGGTCCAATAGCAGGAAAGGGGTATGTATTTGTCTTCTACTTGCAAGCATCCATCTCACTGGCCATTGTGAGAAACAAAATGCTGAATAAAGATGGACCTTGGCCTGTAACAGCAGGGCTGTTCTTATGTTCGTACATTATATTCTGGGTGAACAAGTTGTGGCTTGGGTGGCATACAGTACATCACTTGGCTGTATCCTATGACTGTGACTCAACCAGGAATGATAAGGAAAAGTACAGGTTACTTGGTTGAAAGGAATAAACAAACAGAGGCTTTGAGGCTTGGCTCAAAAAGGTAACAAACAGAAGGAAACATCTGCTTTGGCATGAAAGTAAGTGAAGTCATCCTCAGTGACCCTCCCAGTAGCCAACACTGAACTATGAGGGACAAGAAAACTGAAGAAGGCCAGGATATCTAGGGAGAAATAGACCTGGAAGCACAGAAAAAGTGTAAGTACAGAAGCCATGCATAAGCCATCTCAGCCTCAGGACATATGCACGACAGCTTTTGTCTTAAAGGATGCCTGGAGGTCTTAAACCAAGAGCCTTGGCTGGGGTAGGCTATAAGCTTGGGAGTTTGAATGCCATATTGTTTCAAGTTCTCTGGCATCCACAGTGCTGAAATCAGAGAGAGGGATGGTGCCAATTTCTATGAGATCTTTGCAGAAACCAGATATGACATTTTAGTAGTGTCTGAATGTAAATGACCTTCATCTTTAGGGACAAGCTAGGGTTGCTGATGGTGTGCCATCCACCCTGCTGCCCAACAGTGTCCCTTCCTGAGTTCAGGGCTGTATGTGGAGTCACCCAGGCTTATAGTGCTGGGGAACTCCAATCACCATGCCCTGGGGATGGTGACCAGATGTACTCAAGATTTCATTATCTCTGTTGCAATCATGGGCTAGTTCTAGGTTATCTCAGCCCCAACCCATATAGGTGGTCACTTATCAGATCTGTATTTACCTTGGATAGATGACACAGGACATTATCATCAGTCTTTTGCCATGGTCAGATCATTTCCTGGAAAAGGTGCACATTGTTGGCATCCTTGACTTTTATAGGCATGGCAGACCAGTTAGGATGGTCTGCTCCAGGCACCTGATAAATCCAGAAGGATTTTTGTGGGCACTTGGGGACTTTCATAGTGATTTGGTGGGCAGTTCTGTCATGTGCCTGGCCACTGTCTGTAATATGAAGATGGCTAGGGCTTTGAATAGAATTGTTCCTGAGAAGCCTCTCTATTGCCAATACCAGGGTGCCCTTTGGCTTGCCAGTGAGCTCCAGGAAATGAAACAGTTGAAGAGATGCCTAGAGCAACAGAGGTAAAAGATGAAGAGTGGATATGACTAATCTCAAATACAAGCCCCTGTTCAGATCTGCACTGTGGTGATAAGAGCAGCAAAGGATGCTTACATCTCTGCACTTATTCCATTAAGAGATTCTTGTCTGGCAGCCCTGTGCAGTGACTTGCTCTTGCAGGGGAAGAAGAGATGTGCTAATGCTCCTGCAGGCTACTAGGACATGCTTCTTGGCAGTTCAAATCATTTATATTCATTTGAGTTTGGATGCTGTGTGGATGACTTGAGCAATATCTTATGCTGTCATCTGGGATTATAACATTCAAAGAATTTCATAGGGTTTTCTGTAGTATGAGTTCCACCACCTACGCACTGACCTGGCTCCATTGGGCAGCTTGGGTGTATATGTGCAGCTGATGATAAATGCCTTTTTGAAGGAGAGTGTGGTGCCATCAGACTTGAAGGAGATGGTGGTGCCACCTCTCTTGAAGAGGTCATCACTCAGTTGGGCCATATTAGATAACTACCACCCAGTCTCCACTCTTCTCTTTTGGAGAAGATAATGGGGAATCAACTACAGAGACTCTTAAAGAAAGTGGATTATCTAGGTCACTTTATTAGACTCAGGCATGGTATGGAAACAGCATTGGCTACCCTACATGTGCCCTAGTACATGACCTACATTGGGAGCTGGAAGGAGAGTGCAAACCCCTTCTGTCCTAAATCTCTTAGCAGCTTCTTTATTTAATTAAATGTAGAGGCCACTAAACAACTGAAGTGGCTTATACATTAAAAAGTAAAGAACAATGAAATAAAAGATCATGCACAACCAGAAAAAACAGACACAACATACCAAAGAAAAACAACAGGGACTCAACAATCACCCTACCTCCAAACCTGGGAGAATAAACAGGTTTTCAAGGACTTTTGGATCATCATCAGGGAGGGAATTGCACAGATCACTGGGGGGATGCGGTTCCAGAGGGCAGGTGCCACAACAGAAAAGGTGTATTCCCAGGTCCTGATGACAGGATAGCATTAACCATGGTAGACTTCTGAACTAGTTGCAAGAGCATTAGTCTATGGTGATTCTGTTCTGACTTGAGTGGGCAGTTCCTGTTGATTGTCATGAGGGAGGAGCAGTTGAGTCCATGGTTTTTCCAGTGTGAGATGTGACAAATCTTGGTTTTATCTCCTATTTAACATCTATATCTTTCTATTTAACATGTATATCTACATGAAGCTGCTAGGAATATAACTGGGTTTTTCCTGGACTTACTGCTCATGGCAGAAAAGGTGGAAGTCATGGCCAGGGGTTCTTCATATAACAGACTGAGACATCAGTTGCAGCCCTTCCAGAACAGACTCACATCCTCATCACCATGCACCTAGACTCTTGTGGTGTATTCTACATGTGGCTGCTTTTGAAAATGACCCAGAAATTAAAGATGACCCAGAAACTGCAATTGATACAAATTGTGGCAGCCAGAGTGCTACTGCATGAAAACTGCTACTGCAACATAACACTGATTTGTGGTTACTACATTGGCTTCAAGGTTCTGAGTCCATTTCAGAGTGCTGATTTTAACCTATAAAGCCCTTAATGGCTTGGCTCCAAGATATATTAGAGACTGTCTCCTCCAGACTGATTCTGCCTGTTGCCCAAGCGTCCAGAAAAGGGATGCTGATGATCTAACCCCACAAGAGGATGTAGTCTCAAAAGCAGTCCTTTCATGGATGGCCTCCTTGCTTTGAAACACCTTGCCCAGAGGTACATGTGGCACTCTGCTTATTGACTTTCTGACTATTTTATTTATGATTTCCAAGGTTGTTCTATTAGACGCAGTGTTTCTTAGACTTGGTGACTTTAAGACATGTGGACTTCAACTCCCAGAATTCCCCAGCCCGCATGCTGACTGGGGAACTCTGGGAGTTGAAGTGCACACATCATAAAGTCGCCAAGTCTAAGAAACACTGTATTTGAGTAAGATGGATGTGTTCAAAAGGAGATGCAACAAGCACCTGCGTCTTTCCCGATGCGAGGACTGCTGACCCTGACAGCTCGTTTGCAACCTATTTTCTGCCTACTACTCAGATAGTCAGAAGTGAACTTGGCCTCCTTTTCCGCACGCAAATTCTCTTCTTCCGAAAAAAGCGGCAATCGGGTCCCCTTTCTTGGAGGGCCTCCTGGTGGAAATGTGTCTCCCCTTTCTCCTCCAGGGGAACCCAAACGACCCTCCAAGCCCACCGTCCGCATCACTCTCGTTCGACCGCCAACAGGCAGCGGAACTCAACCTCGCTCGACCACGCCTTTCTACAACCTGGGAGACGGCGATTGGCTGAACTTTCCACTTCCATTCTTTGCAGCATCTGATTAGCGGAGCCCGCCGGCAGCCTGAAGTCGCGGACGATTCGCTGCGCAGGCTCGGCCCCCCTCGAGAGCCGCTGCCTGATTGGTGAGTGCCTGCCCTTGCCTGTCAGGGTGGAGGAGCAAGGCTGCTGCGGATTGGCGGGCGGTTCTCTCAGCCTCCGCCGGTGAAGGTGAAGGTCTCCTCCGGGTAACGCTTTGCGCTTTGGGGAGTTGCTGTTGCCGCTGCTGCTTGGGGCCCCTCCGCCATGGCTCCCGGAGCAGGATCCGTCTTTGCTGCCGTTCCGCAGACCGCCCCAGTGGCGGTTTTCCAGCTCACGGAAGATTTCCGCGCCGACGAGGATTCTCGCAAGGTCAATCTTGGAGTGGGAGGTGAGAGAGCGAAGGCGGGGAGGAGAAGAATGCACGTGCCTTCTGCCCCCAGATTACGATTTCAGTTTAGAAAACCGCGGACTCGTCTCCTTCTCGGAGTCCTAGGATCTGGGATACCGTCTCCCGAGTTTCTGATAGGGTCCTGCTGAATTTTCAGCGGTTTTACTGAAGCAAACATTGATGCCTTCTTGGCACCCGCACCCTGAAAGCTCAGTCCCTATTGAAAGTATGCCTAAGGAACAGCTTGCTAGAGATGCAGAAGAGACGAAGGGGTGATAATTGACGAGTAAACTCCATCCAGCTCATTCTTCCCGTCGAAAGGGCATTTATATTAGTTTGAAAATTCACACTCTTTATGACCTGAAGTACTTGGATTTTTCATGTGCAGTATCTGGAAAATCTTATGGCTCTATTTTTGGAGTAGGAGGAATATTTACCAGGATATATTTCTCTTCTATATGAATAATAACAATTAATAGTATGGTAGTAGAATAGAGAGCGTTTTGTGTGTGTGTGTGTGCATGTGTGCCCCTTTGAGTCAGTGTTGTCTCTTGGCGACTGCCTGGACAAGTCCTTGTGATTTTCTTAGCAAGATTTTCAGAAATGGTTTGCCACTGCCTCCCTCCTAGGGCTGAGAGAAGGACTGGTCCAAGGTCACCCAGCTGGCTTTCTGCCTAAGGCAGGACTAGCCAGGTGCCTTAATCCCTTCACCAAACTGGCTCTCAGTAGTATAGTAGAACTGGATAATTTTTGATCCAGATATTTAGAACCCCAAAGTACTTGAACTGGTGACTCATGGAGATTAGAGATCCTGGGACAGCAGTGTAATTACATGCTTTTTTTGTGCGTATACTTCTTTGGTTCCATTTATGTTGGAATTCCTGAGAAATATTAGCAAGGAAATATATACAATGCATGGACTAGAGTTAAAGGGTCCTGCAGAATGTGTAATGGATGGTCTGATCTGCCCAAAGACTTGTAACAAGCTGTGATCACAGAGGGCAGAATTAGTGTCTTTTGCTTTATGTAGGACATCCAGAATTAGTGTCTCCCCAATGCCTGCACTATTTCTCAAGGCATAGTCCAGTGGCTCTTAATGATTAAAACGTATGCATTTTGGCATTATCTTCCTTATAGTTTTCTTTATTCTACTGATGTTTTCAATACCAGTTATTTTCTGGGAGATATAATCATTATAAATCTAGAATTGTGGTAATAGTATTGCTTATGCTTTTGAGATGACTTACATACAGATGTGATCATGGTAGAGCTCTGGGCTGAGATTTGCAGGGATACTTTATGATTCAGCACTGCTAGTTATGTTTAATTAGCAAAGTTACAGAATCTTTTTGAATACCCTGGATACAAACAAGTGACCAGCAGTGGGAAAAGACGAAGAGGTTTTGGTGGCTATGGTTATGGTCTAGTATGTGGGCTTCTAGTGCCAGATATCTGACTGGGATGTAGCTATCAGAGATCTGGGCTGGTATCAAAGTACTGGTTGAGCCAAATTGCATAACCTTGAGAGGTTACTGTCTGGGTCTTGCAGAAACAGGAAAGGAGGCTCTACACCAGAAAATAAAGTCCAAGCTGAATATGCAGTTCACTTCTGTGTTCTCTTAACCTTTAGTCTTTGCCCCTGTATTAGACCTGCTCATGTTCTTTCATCCCTTCATTGATCATCATAAATGAATAGCTGAAAAGGCAGACTACAATTCTCTGCTTTGAAGGAAACTCTTTAGTTCTCTTTGTACTAATATACATTGGAATATTTCTCAACTGTCGTTATTTGCTCCACTTTGCATCTTCAGGACTTTAATCTATTTCTAACAGTCAAGACTTATTTTTTTCTGACTTCAGTTTTTTGCCCAAAGCTCCTATTCAGTTATAAGCATTAGAGCTCCCCAAAATCTGTTATTTGTAACAATCTAACAATTTGATAGTCTTCCATAAAAATTAAATACTTGATTTTTAATATCTCTGCAATGGGGTGTGGAACGCTGCTGCATTGGTATTAATCTTACTTTTTTTTTTCTTCATAACATTTTCCTGCAGGTTCAGGGTCCACTTTTTTTGGATCAACCGAATGTTGATCCATTGGTAGTGACAGGAATTTACCAACCAGCTTGTCGCCCAAGCCTCATCATGGGCTGAGAGAGAGTGACGGCTTCCATGCCTAGGGCAGGACTAGAACTCACAGTCTTCTGGTTTCTAACCTGGTGCCTTAACCACTAGACCAAACTGGATCTATTGGTCTAGCTTGTCGCCCAAGCCTCATCATGGGCTGAGAGAGAGTGACGGCTTCCATGCCTAGGGCAGGACTAGAACTCACAGTCTTCTGGTTTCTAACCTGGTGCCTTAACCACTAGACCAAACTGGATCTATTGGTCTAGCTTGTCGCCCAAGCCTCATCATGGGCTGAGAGAGAGTGACGGCTTCCATGCCTAGGGCAGGACTAGAACTCACAGTCTTCTGGTTTCTAACCTGGTGCCTTAACCACTAGACCAAACTGGATCTATTGGTCTAGCTTGTCGCCCAAGCCTCATCATGGGCTGAGAGAGAGTGACGGCTTCCATGCCTAGGGCAGGACTAGAACTCACAGTCTTCTGGTTTCTAACCTGGTGCCTTAACCACTAGACCAAACTGGATCTATTGGTCTAGCTTGTCGCCCAAGCCTCATCATGGGCTGAGAGAGAGTGACGGCTTCCATGCCTAGGGCAGGACTAGAACTCACAGTCTTCTGGTTTCTAGCCTGGTGCCTTAACCACTAGACCAAACTGGATCTATTGGTCTAGCTTGTCGCCCAAGCCTCATCATGGGCTGAGAGAGAGTGACGGCTTCCATGCCTAGGGCAGGACTAGAACTCACAGTCTTCTGGTTTCTAGCCTGGTGCCTTAACCACTAGACCAAACTGGATCTATTGGTGTTAATTTTACATGATGGCAGCTGTTCTTCAAAGGTTTAAAGTGAAAACCAGCAATCTAGAATAAGAAGAGGGTTTTTTGCAATCTCTCATTCACCCACCCCCATTTATTATTATTCTGGTTTGTGTGTATCCTTGCATTTGTTAAGGTAATTCTGTTCTCCCCTGCAGCTTATCGCACAAATGAAGGACAGCCATGGGTATTACCAGTTGTCCGGAAAGTGGAAATGATGATTGCCAAGAACACCAATTTGAATCATGAATATCTGCCTATTCTGGGGTTGCCAGATTTCCGTGCAAATTCCTCACGAATTGCACTAGGAGAGGATAGCCCAGCCATCAAAGAGAACAGGGTAAGCATGAGGCTGGAAAAGAGACTCATTGCCAGTTGAGTGTTGGCCTCTTAGAGATCTGTGAAATGTTGGTTCATCAATTAACAGTGTGCCCAGCCACATTGTTGACACAGCTGAATGGGATCATACAGCTGCCAAACAACAAGGGAAATAACGAACTCCAGTGAAATGATTGTATTGATGTTAAAGAATGAATCCTAAGAACATATTTTTCCTGAGAGAATGCACTATGTAGTTGAAACAAATGGCTTTACCCTGTTTGGCACAAGATGAACCATTTAGGTCAAGAAATGGGAGAAGCATAGAAGACTTTGGGGATAAGGAGAATGGACAGGGTGGTGTGTTACATTGCATCTCCTATTTGAGGTAGAATTTGTGCAGTTTGATTGGATGGAACCATTTGGAGAGAGTGGAGATCTGGTTGTATCACAACTCAGTATTTCTTTCCCCCATTCCAGGTGGGAGGTGTCCAGTCCTTGGGGGGCACTGGAGCTCTTCGTATTGGAGCAGAGTTTTTGAGACGGTGGTATAATGGAACCAACAACACAGCTACCCCTATCTATATTTCTGATCCTTCCTGGGGTAAGTGCAGAGAGCTGCTAGTATTTTTGATCTGGGAAGGAGCAAAAAGAAAAAAAAAACCTGACTTCTCCAATCTGATGTATTCAGATGCTTTGGACTTCAACTCCCATGATTTTCAGCACAGCCTTTGTTCATTGCTGTGAGTTTGGGAACACCGTCTCCCTAATACAGACAACATAAGGCAACCTGGCTTGAACCTTCTTTTTCCACAGAAAACCATAAATCTGTCTTTACGGATGCTGGCTTCAAGGACATCCGGAGCTATCACTATTGGGATGCTGCAAATAGGGGTCTGGACATTCAAGGATTCCTTACTGATTTGGAGGTGCGTAGGTTATCCTATAGGTTGAGGGCAACTAGATAGCAATATGAAAAGGGACACCAGGTAAGACTTGGCATGGCTGAGAGCATCTTCCTATGTCGATTATTTGTAGGAGCTGCACATCCTAGAGGTCAGTGCAGTATTGTCACACTGAATTGTTACAGAATAGTTAAACTGAACAATTGCCAGAAGGATGTACATCTTTTATGTGCTGTATTCCACTCAGGATTCTCTTCTACTCATAGGAATTCCAAGTGCTGGAAGCAGAGCCTATGTGCGCATAGTACTTTTGAAGCATTTTTAAACTATATTTATTCATGCTACCCAATCAGCATCCCAGAAAATCTGTGGTAGACTCCAGTCCAGAATTCTGCAGACAAGGAGACTGAATAGTTTTGATACGTGCAGGGAAATTCTAAAATGTGATTAGGTTTCCCTTGGACCCTAATCCTTGCTAATCTTCTGAATGTTATATGTATTATTAGAATTATTTCCCACTTATGAGAAGATGTTAATACTGCTATACTACCTGCCAAGACTACACAGAAACCTACATGCTTGACTTCCAGTAACTTTAGTTAATTCTGATTCTTTTGCTTGCTTTATCCAGAAAGCTCCAGAGTTCTCCATCTTCATCCTCCATGCTTGCGCTCATAATCCCACAGGCACAGACCCCACTCAGGAGCAGTGGAAACAAATTGCTGCTGTTATGAAGGTACTGGCTCTTCTGATACTGCTAAAAGACAGATATGTTTTATGTTCCAAAATTCTTGTAATGCATTTGACTTCTTAATAAAAGGAGCCCAGTAGGAAGAACTAGCCTGTGGGGACGTATTTCCCAGGAGGGCGATTGATGATCCTATGGAGCAGGCCCAAAAGCCCTTACCCCTCACTATTCCATTCTTGCAGCGCCGGTTCCTGTTCCCGTTCTTCGACTCTGCCTACCAAGGCTTTGCCTCGGGTTGCCTGGATAGAGATGCCTGGGCTGTACGTTACTTTGTATCAGAGGGCTTTGAACTCTTCTGTGCCCAGTCCTTCTCAAAAAATTTTGGCTTGTACAGTGAGTACTTATGGGATCTGTTAGTTAATTGGAAGATTTGGGATTCCCCCCCTTTTTACTTTTTATGTTGCATTAAGCTATAAGCCCCTTTGAGGCAATTCCTTTGGAATGCAGGTGGTTATATAGAGTTTCTGATATGGGAAGAGCGGGGCTGGTTTCTCAGTTCACCGTTATTGTATGGCGCTTATGGCTGCACTTTTCCTTTTTCCTCAGATGAGCGAGTGGGAAATCTGACTGTTGTGGCAAAGGATGCAGATAACGTGAAGCGAGTCCTGTCGCAGATGGAAAAGATTGTCCGTACTACTTGGTCTAACCCACCATCTCAAGGAGCACGAATTGTGGCTACAACACTCACCACACCAGAGCTTTTTGCTGAGTGGTAAGAACAGGGTGACAAGAAGTGGTCATTGAATCTTAGTTCTGTGAGTTACAGTTCTTCTAATTCCCATCCTGTGGCAGGAAGGAGAATGTGAAGACAATGGCAGATCGGGTCTTGAAGATGCGGGCAGAACTCCAGTCTCGGCTTGAGGCTCTGGGCACACCAGGCACTTGGCATCACATTACACAGCAGATTGGCATGTTTAGCTTTACTGGCCTCAACAGTGAGTACAGATGTGGGGCAAGTGGACGGGGCAGATAAGTAAGGAAGCTAAGAGAAAGAGTTGTATAGGAATTTAGATGTGACCTTGAGAAGGAGGTGGGAGAGGTGCTGAGTCCTGGGAAAATAGAAAGCATGAGAAAGATTCAGAATAGCCCTGCCTTGACCTTGTTGACCTTTTTGGCCCCTTGTCCAAAAAGGGGCCATGAAGATTTTGAATCAGGATTTTCAGATTCTGTTAAAAGTACTTTGCAACAATAATAAGGGAGCCTCCCTGTGGCATCTGTTTCTTGACCAGGCCTAATTTGAAGGACTGGCGGGAATAGTGTTTGGGAGTCAAGTTAATATCCTTGCTTTACTTTAACTTTTCTGGTAGAAGGTTTTGTATTTTTATCATGGAGTCATGCCTCTACCCCACTACAAGTCCAGTTTATAACAGGCTTGTGCTTCGCATGGCAGATGTTGACTGCATACTCTCTGCATGGCTATTTATTTCCCATTGGCCATATCAGGGGTGTCCACAGGGTATGGTCAAAAAAGTGAAGATGGCACTTGTCATCTTGACTTTTTGGATCATATATTGCGGGTACCCCTAGGCCAAATGATTCAAATGTAGTAAACGTTGCTTGAGATTTCTGGTGAAAACTCTTGACATCTTGTCTTTTTCCTTTTCCAGTTAAGCAAGTACAGTACCTGATCAAGGAGAAACACATCTACCTGATGGCCAGTGGCCGTATCAACATGTGTGGTTTGACCACCAAGAACTTGGATTATGTAGCTAATTCCATCTATGAAGCAGTCACCAAAATCCAGGAAATCTGAAATTAGGCATTGCATATGTGTCACTTCGAGTATTTTAACTGTTTTTAAGCCACAAACCATCACTGTCGAGGGAATTTATGCACAAGAATGGCCAGAGAACAGGTGCGCAAAGAGGAATTGCTTAACTTTTTCTCCTGTTGCCATTTTTATGCTTAAAATCCTTCCTCCTCCTCCCATGCTTTTTCTGCATGAGAAGGAGAGAAAATACGTTATCTTTCCCTATATATGGAAAATTACCTGGAGGGAATGGATAATTGAATTGTATGTACACAAAAGAGTTAAATAATCCTCTGTATCATTTTGTCTCCTGCTAACTTTACCAGATTCCAAATCAGCCTTTGGATCTGGGAGATTAAAAACAAAAAGCTAGAACTTAACTTAGCTAGAACTATTGCATGCAATAGTTGACTTGACCCTTATTAGCCTGAATAACTGGCTCCATCTTACCAAATATAGTCTCACTGAGTTTATGTCTGTCATCTTTGTTGCTCAGGAGAGATTGGGAACAGCAATTCTGTCACAAAAGTGTCTTCTTGCCTCTTGATATGTGTCTGTGTATGCATGTATCAGTGGGACTGAGACTAAAACCTTTGTTCCTTCTGTATGTGAGCTGTCAATATGCACAACTAGTATTAATAGCAGCTGCTTCTAGAATAGAAGCATAACAGCCATTTCCTGCTGCCTTGTGTGTGTTCATTCTGCACTTTATGTAACTGACCCCATCTGGCCTGAGCCTGCTAAAGCAAAAGGACAGTGCCTGGGGGCAGATACCAAAATAGTTGGTCTAGCAGTTATAGGCTGCATGGGGTTTTTCAGGAAGCAAGACTATGATTACTGGTGGCTTTCAGTCTTGCATGAATTAAGACTGTAACCATAATAATTGTACCTTTTCTGTCAATGCAGAATAAATAAATAAAATATCTCTTCATGCAGCTCCCATTTATAAGCCAACATAAGATTAAGTATTGTACAATTTTTTTAAAGTACACATGATCCTGCACTTGACTTAGAATAACCCACTGCTGCTTCCTAGGAACTTAAGGACAAAAGATAGGAACAGAAGTTTTTTTTCCTTTCAATGTCTTCCTTTAAACCACTAAAAATACATTTATTTCAATGGGCAAGTTAAGATTCCTTTTGTAGCCCACAAGGCTATACACCCAAACATACCTGAATTTACCAGAAATTTATTTTCTGTAAGGAAGGCTGACTTAATAAATGTGCTTACAGATCAAGTTTCTGCACTGGAAGATCCTTGTGTAAAGCACCCAAAGCTTCAGCAGTTAAGGTTTCTGCCTTAAAAAAGTATGATGCAACTCTTAAATTGTTATAGCTTCCAGGATTTGGTGGTTCCTCATAATCTTTTAGGGAAAGGCTGTAATCTTATAGAACCTGAAGGCTTATAGACACATATTTGAAGTACAGGGAGCTGGAAGCAAATGTAGATTTGCAAGCCTGGGTTTGGAATGTACTTACTCAGTTCTTAGCCAGGAGGAGGGAAGTTACTTACTGTAGAAGTTTAAATGTGATCAGTACATTTCTTATTTTTTCCCCCATTTGTTTCTTATTACTGTAATCCTCGGGTTACAGACAACCCATAATTAAAAACGGAGTCTGTTGTAGCAAAATTTGAATTAAATACACAGTGGTTCGAGTTAAATACACAATGGTTCGAGTTCATTACACAATACTACTTATACAGTATTATACAATAATACTGTTCCAGCTTACATACAAATCTGACTTAAAGACAGACCTTGGGAATGAAACTCATTCTTAGACTGAGGATAACCTGTACTAGTTTTAGGTGCACTTTTGCAGTGAGGCACAAAATGGCTATCAACTAAATGTCTGTTTTAGCAGACTTACTCTTCCACAGTCTTTGTATGGCTGCCACCATCCTGTTATATCTAAGGTCACGATTCTGTTCACATCATAATCGCACTAAGTCATGATGTAGTGTTACCAGATTTGGGCTACTAAACCCCAGATGAACACTAGTTGGCAGCAAAGAACAATCTCTTTGCTGCCATTAAATGGTTGTCCAGGTTTTTATAATGTAGTACAACATATAGCAGTTTGTTTGTTCTTTGGCACAGTGTGTGAAGCTGAATATGCTTTTCCTGCTATTTAGTTTCGACTTTACCCCCACAGTTAAACACATTTTTGATAGGTGGCCTTGAAATTGGATTGAATAAAGGTTATATTTTGAGGCAGAATAAATCTACTTTTTCATTTTACTTCACATGCAAATACTGCCTCTCCCTTGGAGAACAATGAAGTTGCAATAAGCAACTTTTCAGGAATACCTTTGTGGACCTGCCCTTATTAGAAGTGACTGACGAACTGTTAGTAGTGCTACTTTCAAATCTTTACCAGCTAAAACAGTTGGAGAAAATGGACTTCAAAAGCACTTCTAAACATTCAATCAATGACCTCAATTTTGAGTTTGATCAAGAAGAAGCTTAAAGGCCACATTTTGACGGTATCTCTACCAAAACTTGTAATGCATGTTCTTTTACTCTCTCCTTCCCTCCTGTATGTGCTTTAAGCTACACATCAAAAGAACTAAATAATTTAAAACAGGTGCATTTTATTTCTCCCAGAGACCTGATGTCAAACCTTCCTCTTTTTTCTCAATTGATCTGGAAGTCAGAATATCAATAGGGTCAAATGCCCATTTATTCACAGGTTACAAATGACAAGGTGATTTGTGCGATGATGTGCACTTCAGACTGCCAGCCCAAAGCCTGCTGATGCTGGTTACCAACACCACATGTCTAGGGCAGATTTGGATAATGCTCAGATGCAGATGAATTCAGAGCGAGTGTATGGTGTGATGTTGTTGCACACACACGCACTCATTCTACTCTCCTGGACCACACTAATGAAAGGAGTGGCATGTCCAGCAGGAAAGGCCTGTATGCCCTCTTCCTTTGTATTTTTCCCCAATGGTAGTAATTGAGAGACGGTGAGGACACTGCCCTGCTAAGCTACTTAGAGGAATCCTCACACTCCGCCAACATACTGTTCTCATTTCCACTTTTTCCTGAGACTTTTTCAGCTCTCATATTTGTTGATGCCACCTCTCAAGCTTAAAGGGCTGTGGTCTCTCTAGCCCTAAAGGTAAGGGGTAGTTAATGTTAGAGAAGCAGGTGCTGTAACATACACATGAATCTTGTCACAGTCGGCTGTCATGCTGCAGACCTGGGAAAGAAGACAACAGTTAAGACCATAAGCTTGCAAAAACCTCTGTGCTTTTCCTGCTCTACTTCACATAGCTCTTTGATTTACTGGCCAGAACAGTACTGGGTATCTTTCTATGTACCACTTGAGAAAATCTAGTGCTCTTTTAGCTCTGGGACAAGTGCATATCATTCCTCTTAACAGTTACTTCCAAAATAAGATTATGATGACTCCTTACATGAGAGAGACTAAGCACAAATTTAACAGCACAAACAACCCTTAGGACAGGAAGCTTATGGAACATTGAAAAAAAATTAAGTGTTAAAACATAAAGCTACGTTTGCATCAGTGTTTCTCAAACTTGCACTTGAATGTGGGGACCACATCTCCCAACACTTTCATCTTAAAATGCTTGGAATTTCACATTTTTTATAAGCAATATAATGATAAAAGACCCATTCTATGGGCCTTCCCATACCCTTCATGTTTACAGGCTGTTTTAAACTAACATTTGTAGCAAAAAAGATTAATTCAGAATTAAGCAATTGCCATTGGAATTATTTTATGTACCCCATGCAGTAATAACAACATAGCACTAACTTGGCCAGGAATATTGTTCAACGGAAATTTCTTGTAACTAGTTTTCTGGTTAGTATAGGACTAAGGGCAAGTAGTTCTCCAGCCTAGTGAAATCTCATTGTTAGATATTCATTGTTGTATTCCCTATTTGCACTTTTCTTACTGGGTTGCTTGTGCAAGATTGCAGTTCCCCTTAGTACACCGCGTGCGGCTTTCTAGATGATAATACAGTTGAAATCTGTTCATTACTGTCTTTTAGTATACATATTGCTACTTGTCTTATCACTTATAAACTTCAACAAACTAATTTTCAGCCACTGATCCATTTTGTCAACAAGATGACTGGTGGTGAACACAGAAATGGGGTATGAGTTGGTGTCTGGCTATGGTCTGGCCAGCTGATTAGATCGGTAGTGAATATGAGGAAGTGGGAGCTGAGTTCATGAGTGGGTCCTGGCTAGTGTACATGAGGAGGCTGCAATGGACCACCTTGTGGGCCTCCATGGACCACTAGTACTCTACAGTATGGACCACAGTTCAGAGCATCTCTGGTTTACATAACCTGCTTAACCCAATCATAATTCTTCATTGTCTGATCTGGCAGCATGCAATTATGCTGAGTCAAGTGTAGTCATTTGGAGAAATAAAAAGTTTCTGACCTTTTCCTGTCTTGCATGTCACAGCCCTGTGCCAAAAAAATACTGTTAAAGCTTTACTAAATCAATGGTCCCTTCCATTTTAGTCAGACTAGTCTGCTTGGGCACTGCAATGTTTAGATGTATTCTGTGACTATCAAGGCTTGGCAATGAGTTTTATAATGAAAGGCCTTGCATTTTCGGCCACTCTGCCCTTACATCTTGTTTCCTTGGTGGACTAATTGAGCAATGCAAGGCCACTAGCCAGAAATGGAAGGATTCTAGGTCCACATGGAATAGTCAGGGGAAGGGCTATGACAAAATTCAAAGGTAATTTCAATTTATACTGGTCTCTCAACTGATCCTTAACTGATCAGGTTTCTGGGTTCACACAACACACTGGACCTAGAAAGTTTGTTGTGCATCATACAAATGCAGCTCAAGAGTCTATTATGGGCATGGCTGAAAACAGAATCTTTATGTGTTATTTGAAAATAAATAATAAAAACAAAGGTAGGTACAGTTATCTCCAAGTTGGTTCAGGTTCCACCATGATTAGTCAGTGTTGTTCTAAAGTATTCAGATTTTGTGACTTAGGAAGGGATCAGTACTGCCAAGAATAGGGCAATGCATAGTACCAACCTGTGAGAAAGGCAGAGCCATGTCGCCACTCATGTGATGAGCGATGTGAAGTTAGTATTATCATCTGAACTTTTTTCACTATCTGCCGAAGGCTTTCTCCTTCCACCTGCAATATCAAGCAGCAGTGTCAAGGTTGGTAGTCACTGCTGGAGAAAGATCCCCTACCTCAAACACTTTCCAAGCTCCCACTAGTCAGTACAACTCTTTAGGTTCAGGAAATTTCAAGTAGCATGCTGGCTGGTAGATCCTGGATATTTGTGTAATAGCACCAAGGATAAAGGGGGCGGGGGTCTATTGTGCTTAAGCAGCCAGAATTATACTCCATGTCACAAATTCTATATAGACAAATGCCTCCCCCAGAACTTTGAGATGACTCACTAAGTGTCCGAAGTAACTTCTTTCCCAGGGGTTCCTGAGGACCACTTGGAGATGTGCTGAGCTCCATTTCCCTGCTTGAGGACTCAGGTTCCAGCCTGACAATACAGGCCTCATTTTCTGCAAGGCAATAATAGTCAAGATGAGGCTGGGATTCCTCCTTCCCTCACAGCTCTGGAGTGTTCTTCCTGCCCTGCCCTGCCCTGCCCTGCTGTTACCATGCTCTTAAATACTCACTCTGCATGCTGATTTCTGGGTTGCCTGTCAGCTCTTCCTGAATGTGAGGGATTCCCTCCATGTGCAGAAACATAGAGTCTGTGGGGCTCTTCACATTCCCATCTGACTTGCTGGCTGCATGATATATATGAAGAGACTTCAGCAGCACATGTCAGAGTACACATCTCTCATCACAAATATATGAGAGGATACTGCAATAAAACAGTTGGTTTAACTTTTTTCCAGCTTGGTCTGATTAGGATGGATATAAATTAACAAAAAGAGAATTAAAATAATTTTGCACATAAGGCTCCCACAGGTGTCTTTACATAGTCACTCTATAGGAACATGCTTTGTGGTACACCTACCCACAATGCTGCTTCTCTCATTCAAGAGAATAGCAGGATCATCCTTGGGTGTCTGTGGGGTGCCTCTAACTGTGGGAGCCTTTGTGGAATCACCATCATTGAAAACATCCGTGTCAGGGGTCTGGGGAGAGCTGTCCATGCGGTTGGCAGCCAATGCATTCTGATACTGTTGCCGAGTAATCTAGGAATCAAACAGAGGAATTACCAGAGAATCACCTAGTTCTGCAAAGTCATTTTCTCCAGTGTTAGTAACTTCTACTACCTTTCTGCATATTTTATTACAGTTTCCCCCAGTCTGGTGTCACTGAAGGGTGTTGTATGTCCAATAAATCTGGAGGGCACTAGGCATCATGTTTGGAGGGATGTTCTGCTACTACACACAGCCCCATCACTTTACATTCTGAGTGTAAGGGCTTTTTCACCTCATCACATCTCTCTTTTCCTTTCAGTAAACCTAAATATTGCTGTAAAAGTCCCTGCAGTTTTCTTGGCAAATTTTTGGGAAGTGGTTTGCCATTGCCTGCTTCCTAGGGCTGAGAGAATGTCTGGCCCAAGGTCAGCCAGCTGTCTTTGTGACTAAGGCAGGACTAGAACTCATGGTTTCCCGGTTTCTAGCCTAGTGCTTCTAACCACTACACAAAACTGGCTCTACACATTAGTCTCCCCTCAATATCCTTTTTTTCCTGCAACGTTATTTATGGTTACTGTTATGCTCCACAGCAATATGACTTTCTCCAACCCATTATTTCTTTTCAAAGTTTTCATCACATTGTTTCTGCCCTTTTTTTTTTTCCTTCTGTGAGTCAATTTAAGCAGAGAGTAATCAAAATCCTTACTGAATGGGGGTTTATTCCCAGGTTGCTCTATTCCAGGTCCAACACAACTTGAAACTAATCTCTCATTATTTGGAAGGAGCTTATTTTTGTCCTTATTTAAAGGCAAGAGAGCAAAGAAAGAAATGTTTATGTACTACGTGTATTGTTGAAGGCTTTCACGGCCGGCATACGATGGCTGATGTGGGTCTTCCGGGCTGTGTGGCCGTGTTCTGGCAGTTTTGTTTCCTAACGTTTCGCCCTGGGCACAGAGAGAACTGCTCCTGTCTGTGCTCCTGCACTCTGAAGATG